AGCTGATTAGGGAACTGATCCCGCCACGCGCGTTGAAAACGGGCCGCTTGTCACTACACTTGTCACGTCTTCGCCTCTAAAAACTCCCGTACGCTTCACGAATGTGCGTAAATCCTCGCACGGATGCTATGCTGAACTTATTTATATTGCTTCGATTATAGTATATGTCCAGGAGTGAAGCTTGCACGCTGTAGCCCCTATAATCCCCTATCTAAATCAGGGCACGTCGTACGATGGGGATCCCCAGCGAGGGTGTCGTATTCGGTCGCTAGATAAGAGACGGTCGTATTTTGTTTGTGTCTTTGGAAAAAATATTTTTGCTTGTTAGATTCTTTTGGCTTTCCTAGGCCTTTCCTGTTTCAGGAAAGCTATGTGCATGCCCTCCCTCTCCTGCTCGAGTTGTCCAGTTTTCGAAAGAGAAAGGAGGATGTTTTATAGAAATATCCGGAGAAGTGTTGGGAAAATTAGTAAGGTGATATGGAGGACTGAGATGGCGAAGGGGGGGGGGTCGTAACAGGAGGAGAACATTCTGGAGGGGAGGGGTATATCTAGCAAAATTTTCCCCAGCGGCAGGACGTGCCCTGATCTAGCAACTTGCCCTGCCCGTGGAAAACCTTTGCTCGGTGGGAAAACAGGTAATTTCAAAAAATTCCGACGTTGGATGTGCGATTTCTTTAGCTCACATCCAACCGAGTTTCGTGAGAGAACGAGGAAGAGAAAGAGAGAAGAGAGAGAGAGAGAGAGACAGTGAGAGAGAGAAACAACCAGAGAAAAAAAGGGAGGAGTGTCCACAGTATGGGAAGTATCTCTTGACATAACTGCGCAATTATTGTGTTCATAATTTTGACAAGTCGAATTTATCAACCTGGCATTTTTACAATAATCATCGCCACTGCAAAACGACCGGAACTACTCACCGCTGCAGTTCTGCCACCTCCGCGGATGCATCCAACCTGGTAAGAACGACCAGTCACGGCACGTGACGTGGGTGGAGTAAGAGTTCGAAGTAGACGAGAGGAGTCCATGCGAGGCGTCGAAAGCCGTGGCCGCTTCGCGGCACGAGGTTCCCATCCTGTCAGTTCAGATCCTTCCGTATATGTACTGTCACAACTCTCGTCATCATCCCTTTCATCAGCAGCGGAGTAATAGTGGTAGTTCTATAAAGAAGCAATCTATCAGAATTTAACGAATATGAGATGCGATCATACGGTGCGTCAAAGTTTGAATTTGTGCAACAGTCGGCATTTTAAGCGTTTTCAGCGTGCTGAAAACGCTAACGAACGCTTAATATGCTGGGAGACGGTCAAAACGCTGGCGGACGGTCAGGATGCTGACGGACGTTCAAAATGCTCAAAACGCTAGCAAATGCTGAAAGTGTGGTGGACGCTCAAAACGCTGGCGGAGGCGCAAGAAGTTGGATCCGATACCTTAATATCTTCCAAACGCTCTCAAAACTTGACGGCGATTTTATGGACGTACTCCAAGGATTTGATGAGCCACTGACGTATCTCAGTTGTTCGCACTGATCAAGAATCCGATAAACATGCGCAATACACCAAGAAATTTTTGACAGTTATAGTCTCTGACAGTTAGTCTATGACAGTTAAAAAAATATTCCTAATAAACAGCGGGAGAATTAATACTTTCAGCTCACCAGCGGCGCGTTTTTCCTAAACTAGGAATTTCTCGCTAACAATCTCTGTTTTCTGCAACAGACCAACTCCTTATGAAAGGAAAACTGCACTATTTATGCCTTACTGACTAATGAAACTTGCGGATAACCACAATGTTTTACCGGCAGACCTTTCCACTGGGTAGATTGTCCAGTCGCCTTCGCCGATAGTATTACCCTACAAACGGAATATCATAATTCCTTTTTGCTTCGAAGTAATGTGATACATAAGTTTCGGAGTTCAAGCCACATCGGAGTAAAATTTTGGCCAAATATATTTTAGAAGAGAACTTCCATGACAAATCGGTGCCTTCCGAATAGTGGGGCAGTCAATGGTGAACAGTGCCAAAAACCTATCACAGCCTTATGCGTTAAACATTTTGAGACCCAGCCCTGCATTTCTATGGGGCCAAAATAGGCTTCGTAATTCAAGTTCTTCTGTCGCTGGCAACCGCTTCAGTTAACGAACCTCCAGTTCAGTGCAAGGTCAGTATGCCTATCAAACTTCCTCTGAAATGAAGCGCTCACTGGATCAGGAAAAAATAATAGAGGACTGATGCCAGTTAAATCCACTAATTGTAGTTGTAACAGTGGAGGCAAACAGTTTTGTTTTGGTTGTGTACAGTATGGATATAAACCACGACTAAACATGGTCCCGCAGGGCCCAAGTATGATTTTGGAGAAGGGAGTCAGCAAATTATTTCTTGCTGTAAAAAGCAAAAGAGAAGCGATAAATACATATGTTCTTCCACGATTTTGTGGTGTACCGTCTCTACGCGTCGACTGGTTCCTAGCAAGCAAATACCAATAGGTGACACTTTCTCGAAGAGAACTTAAAATTCAGCATAACTCAAATTTCTTGTCAAAAATACCATAGCTCCCTAGGACAATGACGAGTTTTACTCGAGATATCGAGGAGAGAAACAAAGTTTTGTTTAAAAATGCTCACATTTATTCGACCCTCCTTTCGTAATCGCTCAGCGGTGATGACTGCGACAGAGCGTACTTGTTGTGGTGTCGGCGTTGATGAATTTCGTGGAGGAGGAGGACGAACAGGACGATCCTGGACAGAAACCGCTTTACGCGGGGCAACAACATTCGGAACAGGGCTTGCGGTTCGTTCTTTGTAGGGTTCTGAACACATACTGACATCTCCAAATCTGAAGTCCAAATAAAGCTAACTTTGAGGCGATAAGAAACGCACGAGCTGGTTTTGCAGCTGATCGTGGTGGCTGAACTCTCTGTGCTGTCGGCTGAGATGACTTCAAACGGTTTGTGAATCGCTCACTGAATCCTCTCCAGTAATCACTGAAAGAGTTACTCAGTTACAGATTTCTGAATTCTCTCAAACTAATGGATTATGTAAAATTGCATACTAAATTTCATAGAGTTTCAAATCCACGCCGTCAACCCATTCCTCTTTAATCTGAGATACTCGTCTAACGCGTGATGACTGCGACTGAGGTTTTCTTCGCCGAACACCTGAAGAGCAGTACTTATAAAAGAAAAGTACAAACAGCGTTGGCCTGGTTCATTACTTTTCCGTCGTTCCCGTTCACTGCTCGTCCACGACAAATCATCTTCTTCATCGGCTCCATTGTCGTCGTCCAGAGGTAGAACTTCGATGGAAAGTCGATACCTGGAAATCGTCGATAAAGAAGACCAACAATGACGAATTCTTGGAAAATTGTTTGTAAAACCGGTCAGGATTCCCGACTGAGCAGGCGCTACTTTCTTTGAGAATTTAACGTTACTCCGCTGCTGTTCTCCCTACACAGTGCTTTCCATTTCGGTGCAGTTTGACGACGGGGGGGGGGGGGGAGAGGGGGAGCATTTTGCACTTTCGCTACTTCCCATCGACGTGTCGACCTATCTAGGCAGCCTCTTCTCGAGTTGACAGGTTTTACCATGATGGCTAGATGAGCTTGCTCCAGCTTCACAAGAGTTCACAGGTTTCGCCAGAGTAAACCGGAACTAGGGAAGCAATGATAGTACAAAATGTCCCTCCCCCACCCCCCGTAGTCAAACTGCTCCTTCCATTTCTTTCTATAGTGATCATCAGTTTATAAATCTATTCAAATCCAAAGAGCATGACGTTGCCAGCTGAAGACAAAACAGCAACTGTAAAAGGGTACAAATGCAAGGAAATTCCCCAAGAAGACTTCGCACTATGGATCGTACCTCTGCATTCTCTGAAGTGTTGTAAACAAATTTCTTAGAATATTGTAAACAATGTTACCTTCTAATTTTGAATACTCTTTCGCACGTTGTTTAACATAAAGCTAGTTGTCAAAGGCCTGTATTGATTGCGAGCCAGGGATGTGAATCCCGCGCGATTTGATTCCGCCACATAGCTACTATGTACTATTTCTTCATACTCTGTTGTCTAGCCTCACCCTATATAAGGCCGTGTCTCTTGTAGAAATTGCATTCTTTGTGGATTCTCGACTGGGCTTACTGCCTTACTTACTGCTATCCAGCGAAATAAATAGGTGAGTCACTGCTGTATTCTCACCGAAGAAGGAGCTGGCAAAGCTCCATTACACAAATAAATTCAGGCAAAGAAGAGAAGAGAGGAACTGGTGCCTGGTGTATAGTCTTATGATGACTCACTTTAAGGAGCAGTTGAACGATCCTGACCATAAAAAGCCGCAGCTAACAACACATGCGATGACTTTTATGCTTTCCTGTCTATATTTCAAGTAAAAAAAAGTCAAAAAGTCAGCATTTTCGCCTATGACTGCGCACTCAGTGGGATAGTGTTGTTTGCGATTTGTAAAAAAAGTTTTAAGATTCCTAGCGCACCGCTGGAACTTGTGACCAGTCCCCACTCTGTTACTGCAAATCACAGTCTAGTATAAAATACATGGGTTTCCAGGGTATCTACTTCAAAAACGGGGACAGACCTTTCATAAATGCATGGCGGGGCATACTCCTTGTGGAGAGAAATCCATCGACGTTCATCGCGATCCGGAAAATGATTCACTACCCGTCTATCAGGATCCTGAAAACGACACTCTTTACAATAAAATACCTGTTCTCTCAATAATGAGCTCGTTTCGTTGAAAATATGAAAAGGGAGGTCCTTGCGATAGCATCGGCAAGGGGATGAGCCTACGATCATTGAGCGTACAGTTAGGCGCCCACTTCGAACGTAAAAAATTGGCATCCAGACTCATAATGGGCCGGAATGCCTTTCAAACGCTACCTTTTTATGAGCGCATGCAAGGGGTTTGACTGTTGTGGGAGTTTACACCCTAGAGTGGATGCACTTCAGAAAAACTGTCTCTCATTGCTGAGATGGCCAACCATTTAAATAGGAACCGGTTTCGAGCATGCTTTTCAATCCATGGGCCCTAATACGCAATTTTAGGTGTGCTGTAATCATAGCGATCGTACTCATCCTTCGTTTTTTTTGCAGCGCAGTGTATACATATACAGTAGGTGGAGACGCCCCCTAAGCCATATACCTGATGGAGCGGGATGGCAGCGCGCCAAATCCCGCTTACTGACACGCCTCATCATACGCAATGAAGGGTGTTTGCGGATGTTTGTACAGGGTACAGCATCATCGTGCGAGGAACATAGTGGGTTCGTACTCTTCCGCTGGGGAGGGGGGTCGTATTTGATCGTTGTTAGGAGAGAGGGGGGGGGTTGTGTGTGCCTTTGAGAGAATTGCCACGTTCCGTGATTTTTCCTGTTTCATGTGTACTATATGGCCCCCTCCCCCGCTGACAGTAGAATTTTTGCGAAAATTCCGGAAAATTCTGCAGAGTATCCAGAAAATTGATAGGTTGTTGGGGAAGGGGGGAGGGGGGACGTACTGACAGCACCACTTCACACACCGCGAAGCTGTACCCTGTGTTTGTGAACACATCTCATTTCTCCAAGTACCAAAAATTTCAAGCGGTGACAGTCCTTGGCAACTGATGATACTTTCTTTCCCTTATGCTTTCTATGCTTTGTGAAGTCTTTTCATAGCTATAAAGTAGCTCACTAGAACCTTTCAAACTACAGATATCAGAGCGAAGCGCCTTCGTTCACAGCGCAATACTCTAAGCCTTCTTTCTTTTGTTCTTCTCTGAGCTCAATAAAAATGCAGCAGAAATGGAACACGATCGAGAAAAACCTTACATCATCTTCCGGCTTCATATCCTGCCAGCGAACTGAAGCCCATAAAATCCGCAATTGCAGTGCCACAGCTTGCAACGACGAGCAGTTCACTGTTAACCATCTGCAACATTCAGCAGAAAATAAGAATAACAAACAAACGCTCTTGATAAGGAAGATAACAAGAATATCAACAATGAAGTAGTAGCAAATCGATCCGCATAACTAAAGGACCACATATAGCAAAACTGTTGGACAACTAACCTCCAACATAAATCAAAACAGGGACGAGGCGTGGGATAGTTCCAGTATTGCAGGTTTCCTTTCGCTGTTGCCGAGAAACTGGGGATATAAATTGCTTTACGACCTCCACTTTTCGCCAAACGCCGAAGCG